GGGGCGTTCAACCAAACTCACTCACTCACTATAAACGTACAGTTCACTACACCATTTCATTACTTTACAGGACCATCATATTGATTGCAAAGGACCCTTACAATTAATTATTGGGGTTCCTGGATCCCTCCTTTAGTAAGTCAAGGTGAATCTCTAAATAAGCTTAATAGTTCTAAGTCAGGAACATGTGAGGAATTAAACCCAGGATCTTCAACATTATGAGCAAACACATGTACTACTAAGCTATTCCGTCCCCCTTGTAGAGCTACATGTACTTGTAGCATATCTACATAATTCGTGTCACAGTACATCCTTGCCACACATGACCTTGAATAGATTCAGCTCATGAGATGTTGGAGTAGAACAGTTGTGTAAGAGTCCGAGATTCTGGTGAATAATGTCCACGTGTTCTCCCAAGCCACCTGATACCACTAAATGTGACCACCGGGAGAAAAGGGACCTTGTGGGTGCTAGGATACAATTTTGCTGTGACGTCATAAAAAAAGATGTTTGACGTCAACTAACTTCCGCATAAAACGCCATGTGTCTTATTTCTCTCTCGTTTGTTCGTAATGTAATAAAAACAAAATTATTTCACAACATTTCTGCTTACGTGTCTACTTTCAACTAATCAGACATTATATCCCCTAAATTCAATCATTACATAAACAGTTTTACTTCTGAAAATTGGACTTTGTCCAATGAGTCAGAAAATGAATCTAAATGTTTGATGCCCTGTATCTTTGTAATAAATATGAATTGAAGCTTAGGAATTGTATTTTTGTGTTCCTAAGATACTGTAGTTTTAAATTGTAATGAGAAGTCAAAATGTGATTTTTCGCCCTTATGTCCTGGTGGGTCACATATAGTGTGTTCACTGCCTCCCCCGTAGTCATGATGTGACCACTCAAGCATTGCATAGCCCTCATCAGCTGACTGGCTGTCTAGGCCCGTAAATACATGGTTCATTATGCTTATGTATCTCCGAGAGTCATAACCAGTGGTTGCCTAGTAGAGCAGTACTGTCATTTTGACAGATTTGTAGGTCAGTCAGGTATGAAGACGGCACGGGTATAAAAGTACTTCGGGCGTCTGATGTATGGATATGGAGGCCAACTCTCTTGGTGTTTTCGAAATGAGAAAATATTTTTCGCCTTGGGGAATTCTGGTGCATTTGACATAGTATTTTTGATGAATATCTGTAAACATAATTGTTTTTGTACTGAACTAGTGGAAAATAGGTGACATATTCAGCTTGCCCGGTCAAAATGTTTAAATGCGCTTGCTTGCTGTGGGACCTGTGAAGATCCGGGCTAGAACAGGCCTTCAGCAACCCATGCTTGCCGTTACATGCGACTATGCTTGTCGTAAGAGGCGACTAACGGGATCAGGTTATCAGGCTCGCTGACTTGGTTGATGCATGTCATCGATACCAATTACGTGGTTCTATGCTCGTGATGTCAGTCACTGGGTTTTCTGGTCCAGGCTTGATTATTTATAGACTACCGTCATATTGCTTGAATATTGCTTAATGCAGCGTTAAACAAACAAACAAACAAACAAAAGCATGCGATGGTTGGAACAGTTGATGGATGTGAGTGTAATGAGGTCATCTCAATAACTGCTTGGTATGCATGTTCCTCACAGAAACACCAGTACTTGGTTCTTCATTTTTGATCCAATTTTAATTAAAAAATTTGGAAATAGTTTATTTCAGAAACCACCCTGGGATATTAGCTGAAGATTCTGATCTAAAATGTTAACTTTAGCGGTTATCAATTTCTTATTTGTACACAACTTCAAGGCTTGTTAATGATTGTCAGAAATGAATATTTGGTAAATCTTTGCCCAGACACCCCTGGTTTGGTCAAGGTTGGTGTTGTCCAGGTTGGTGTGGCTGAAGTAAATGTAGTTGAGGTTGATGTGGTTGAGGTTGTTGACAGTGATGCTGTGTCACATCCTGGGGAACAATACCTAGATGATGGTGATGCTGTGTCACATCCTGGAGAACAAAGTCTAGATGACGGTTATGCTGTGTCACATCCTGGAGAACAAAGTCTAGATGACGGTGATACTGTGTCACATCCTGGAGAACAAAGTCTAGATGACGGTGATGCTGTGTCACATCCTGGGGAACAATATCTAGATGATGGTGATGCTGTGTCACATCCTGGGGAACAATATCTAGATGATGGTGATGCTGTGTCACATCCTGGGGAACAAAGTCTAGATGGCAGTGTTGCTGTGTCACATCCTGGGGAACAATACCTAGCCGATAGTGATGCTGTATCAGATCGTGGAGACAGCGCCCCCAGAATCAGATGGTAGCAAGTTCACCAAGACAGGATAGTATTTCCCACAGTACTTCCACACTCAAGACCGGAGGCATTCCTCTGGACATACGATATGTGACTTGATACCCAGGCTAACCTGGCCAACATGAAGTAGTGGCAGTTTTGTTAATACCTGACTCAGTCTTCCGTTTGACTTGCCCATGACATCAGCACCAACACAGACTTAACACAATTGTTCCCCAAAGTGTAGGTGATGAATTACAGGTGAAGCTAATTTAGTATGCAAGACCAGTCTTGCAGACACTGACGAAGGATATGATAAAGACATTGCGATCATGTTTTCAGGTATTTACATATTACTAAGTTACACATTTATGGAGACTTGAAACCTTGTTTTATCTCCCTTATTAACTCGCTTAGCCTGTGTGGATGTATGTCAAGGTTCCTTGTCAATCATCAGGTATAGTTTCATAGTTTCATGTAGTCGTATAATGTGACCCTGGAATACCTTCCTTACTAATGTCACTAGATTCAACATTGCTCAGGAGGTTTTTCAAAACCAGTATTTTGTAACAGACATTTGACATCATGTTTAGCATTTTGATATGCACAGGCACGGTATTCCTAGGGCAGTGATTATTATGTTAAAGGTTTATGAATTTTGTTTTGTTCTTACACTGTTGGTGGTTGACAAACAAAAATTGTCTTCAAATGAACATGTCTGAATTTCCTGAATTTATGCCCCTCGTCTGCTCTCACGAGGCACATGAATACCTCCATTTCCATGTCTAAATGATTGCACAACTAGATATATTGAAGAGCTGTAACTCTTTATTGGTCTATACTGATTTAAGCTTCGCTTTATATTTAGATTTCACAGTGAAGTCACTTTTCAACACAAAATGCCTCCGTGGTCTGGAGGTATTGCGTCCACCCGGAGAGCGGAAGGTACCGGCCCCGTCATACCAAAAGACGTTAAAAGATGGTACTTGTTGTTACCCTGTCTGGCGCTCTGCATTAATGGTCTAAAACAAGGACTGGTTGGATCGGTGTCAGTATACTATGTCTGCATGGGGTATTCATGTTAAACTGAGACATGGTATCTGTGAGCTAGCACTATAAAATCGGCATTAGTCCGAACTACATGAGCTTGTACAGGCAGCCACACACACACGTGCATGCACGTCGGTATATAACTGCAATAATCTTGGACGAGACATTTCTTGAAGCCCATTTCTGGTGTCCCCCGCCGTGATATTGCTCGAATCTTGCTAAAAGCGGCGAAAAACAATACTCACTCACTATGGCTGACTAAATACATTGTCAAACCTGGCTGGTCATGTCCCTTTGTGGTCGGTGCTCATGCCATCAATCACTGGTATGCCAGACTCCGACTCAATCATTTATAGATCACTGGAATATTGCTTGCAGCATGACACAATCACTCAGTGATACGCAGAGCGTCTGATCTTGGCCTCATTTTCACTCTTGGATGCTGTAATGCCTCTAATATCAATAATGACCGGTTATTCCGGAAGTTTACTCTATACTGTACATGTTAGCAGGGCTTTGAGCTCTTTGAACAACATTTATCAGCTGAACGAAGTACTGAAATTTGAGGATGGCCATTTATGAGTTATTTGGAGCCAATTATGCCTCAAGTTGCTGCGGATCTAAAGATGTTTTATATGCCATTGTCTGTGTCACTGTTGGTGTGCTCGTGGCTGTTTTACAAATATGTTTTATAATGGAGATTGGTCATAGGACCGTATCATATTTTGCTGCCCCCACCCCCCATTTTATATGACATTTTTTTGTGCCCCCCCCCCCTCTTCCTTTATTAAATGACCAGTCCCTAAATAGTGTTAAAATTTATAAAGAAGATTATTTGCAAAATACTTACTCATGAAGATAGGTCTTCAGCAACCTTTGCTGGCTGTAAAAGGTGACTAGTATTTGGGCTTATCTTGCATTGAGAAAGTTCTGAATAATTCCATTCCAAATTAAATACTACAAAGATGAATTATATAAATACATTAAGTGTGTTGGGCTGAAAGATAAAAAAAATGTATAGTTGTATTGCAAAATGGGAATATATTGCTGAATTATATTAGCACAAATGACCAGTGAAGATTCCGGGGTAGAATAGGTCTTCAGCAACCCATGCTTGCAGTAAAAGGTGACTATGCTTGTCGTAAAAGGCGACTGACGGGATCGGGTGGTCAGGCTCGCTGACTTGGTTCATGCATGTCATCGATCCCAATTGTGCGGATCGATGCTCATGATGTCAAGCACTGGATTGTCTGGTCCAGACTCGATTATTTACAGACCGCCGTCATAATGCTGGAATATTGCTGAGTGCGGTGTTAAACAACAAACAAACAAACAAATATTAGCACAAATATATGTTCTTAACATAGCACTGATTCATGTTATGGAAATACACAGAACTTTGTAGGCGATGTCTTGCATTGAGTGAGTGAGTGAGGTGTTACTCTGCTTTTAGCAATATTCCAGCAATATCACAGCAGGAATCACTAGATATGGGCTTCACACATTTTACGCAGGTGGGAAATTGAACCCAGGCTTTAGGTGTGACAAGGCAAAACACTAACCACTAGGCTACCTCTTAAATATGAATGTGATATATAGACAATGTAGAAAATAAGATTATGTTTTTGTAACCTTGGTGAATATGTGTTTCAGCACCTTGTCGGTCAGTTATCTGCCCACCAGCTGAAGACAAGACATGTCCGCAGGACAGCTACGAACTGCCCAATCAGCTGACCGATGATGGATGCTGCTACATCAAGAAAAGGTAATGTCCGCCATGGCCGCCCAGCCTCACAGGCAACCATGGAGAACACACATGCTGGCCCTCTCTCACCCCTGCTCCCTGTTCAACAGTCACATGCTGGAAGATAAAAGTACAATCTAGTTTTTATCCCCCGCTGGGCAAATTCTGGCCGAAAGGGGGATTATGTCGTGGCGCAGTCCGTTCGTCCATCCGTCCGTCCCACAGAGGGTACTAAGCTTGTGAAATCAACTCCTCCTCCAGCTTTTAGAGAATATCCCTGATACTCTACACACAAGATGTCGACATGTTGATGATACGCGTATCGCAGTCCCGTTTCATTTCGACAAATTTTGACAGAGTTACTGCCCCTGTTTTACAGAGCTTCATGAAATCTACTCCTCCCCCAGTTTCCAGAGAATATCATAAATATCTAACTATAACTATAACTATAGTTAGTTTCCTTGTATAAGGCTTTTGGGGGTGAGCTACATCCTTATGGCATTAATTAGCATTCAGACTGGATTACTCCCAACAAAATGTTCTGCACAATTTGTTTCAAATGCAGTGCCATCTACTGTTGTTATTTCATAGAATACAAAGAAAATATAAACTCGTTAAAAAAATTCATGCGGGGGATGTTGTGCTCTCAGAGCACTCTTGTTACCTTTACAGGTAATCTAGTTTTTACCTGCATCGTTCCCCATTTAACAATCAGCAGAATCTTGTTGGACTGGACCTAGGAAGCCAGCACCATGACTACTGGACACAGTGTCCATGAAGTGGAAGGGGGATATAGGAATAGGTGCTGTCCGTCTGTCCTTCCGGAAAAAAATCCATGAGAGATATTTTAACCAAACTTAGCATATAGATAGGTCTAGTGTTGAACTAGCATGTCATCGATCCCAAATGTGTGGATCGATGCTCATGATATGAATCACTGGATTGTCTGGTCCAGACTCGATTATTTACCGACTGCCATCATACAGCTGGAATGTTGCTGAGTGCGGCGTTAAAAAAAACCCCAACCAACCAACCAACCAACCAACCAACCAACTTGAGAACCTTGATTAAAAACATGTAACAATTGGTGGAACAATGCTTTGCAACTCAGCAGTTGACTGAAATCTGTGTGTTGAGATCCATGTTGTTTACGAACTGGATGTCTAGTTTGTTACGCGATTTTGATTGGACTATGCATAGACTCGTTATTCCAGCCAAAATGTTACTCCTGAATTCAAGCCTAGTTCGACAAGGGTGGAAACTGGACTTTTATAGATAACTCCCTTGCCACGGGAAGATGAGCCAGGCTCAGGTTGTGGTGTCTCCCCTGAAATCACTTCAGAAAAGGAACATTTTATATCAGTCAAACATATCTTGATGAAATATGATGACATGCAGGTATAGCATGCTCACAATGAATATCTGTGAACCGCGTCATGTACTGGAGTACTCTTCTCCCATGACATGTGACATGTTTATCATGTCTGTTTGCAAGGCCGTGCCCGACATTCCAAGTAGAGGGGGCATGATGACACCAGCATTCATCATTTAATGGACCGTAAGATGCTTGCCATAGCCAACACATTAGGTACAATACAACCATTTACTCTCCCCAAAAAACTTTCAGTTGTGGTTCTACTGTTGCTGTTAATGGGATATATAGGGTTCTCTTGTCACTGGCTGTGGGAGCCTGTCAGACTGGGTATGTCTGTATACCACTCCGTGTGGAGCCCTGTGGAGCCCTGTGGAGCCCTGTGGAGCCTCCTTCATGGAGCTTCTTGTCACCAGGCCATTGTTTGCTATATGTACCTTGCACACAGCAGATTAAAGATTCCGATGTGAATGTGGGTGATGAAGATGAAACAAAGATTCCTCTAAGTCATTACTTAACCCCGCCATGAAGTGTAAGGGGGATATAGGAATGGGTGCTGTCCATCTCTTCTTCCGTCCTTCCATCCATCTGACCTTCCGTCCATCCGTCCATCACGTTTCCGGAGCAGAACTCCATAACCATGAGAGATATCTTAACCAAACTTGGCACAGAGATAGGTCTAGTAGTGAATTGGTGCGTTTTGATAGTTTGGGACTTTCAAAAAATTATTTTTTGAGTTTCCATCTCAATGATTTTGACTTAGACTGAAAATGGCCATAGTGCTCGTTTCCTGAGCAGATCTTGAAAACCATACAATATTTCTTGCCTTGCACACAACCGGATACGTCATATTGGTGGGTGGAGGAGGGGGGAAGGGTGGGGGGGGGGGGGGGGGGGGGGGGGGGGGGGATATGAGTGTTTTAAGCTTGTTTAGTTTGTTGTAAAAAGTCCTGTGTCTTAATTGTTGTCTCTTTAATGTAACTTTCATCATAACATCCCTGTTGGGATACTTGGTACCAGGGGTCCGGAAACCGTCATATGTGCCGGACATGTCCGATTGGGAATCTCAAATGTCCGGTTTAAAATATTGCTTACCGGACATTTTAAAAAGTATTGTCCAGACATTCTTAAATTTTGACCAGACATGATCAACAGTTAGGACTGAGCAGTTTCTGTCTGCAGTTGCAACACAATTAAGATTATCTACACTGACAAGCTTTGTTTGTTTTGATTGCTGTAAATACATCGTACCTACGTGATAGTCCAATCGGTCAATCACTGTAATAGGCAATAAACTGAGTTGACACTGATTAATCGAGGATTAATTACTGAGAACATCTTGTTAATTTGCGTGAAAGGTGTTTACAACTGTACATAAATACCTTGCATCATCGATGTACATCATTATCCTCACAATGTTACGATACGTAACCTCAGACAAAAAGCGGAAGCGTGACGACAGCCAGTCGACCGATGCAGATCAGTCGAGCGGATCTGCCAAACCCTCAAAGTCTAGACGATCATTTTGTAAGTCGTGGCTAACGACTTTCACTTGGTTGACATACAATGAAGATTTGCAGATTTTATTGTTTTCAGTAGCTAGTCGTATATTGAATCTTGATTGACCGCCATTTTGCTTTCTCGCACGATCGATATCAATTTTTTTTATGGTCAATAATTAAGTACAGATGAAAAAAGTATTCAAATAACTATTGCTCTCAACGATATTTTAGTATTTGTGATTAAATTATCTGTCTTGTTTTTAAAAAATCTTTAGTTAAAAAAAACCCTTTTCCCGTGAGGTCACGTGATAGCCAAATATGGGATAATAGTCTCGATCCAAATGTTACAATGCGTACACTTGAGCAGACTCATGAATATAACACATGAATATTAATTAGACTGTTTACTACGTTAACAGATCGTTATTATAACAGAAACAAACGTATGTTTTCCATGTATATCTAAAATGATATTATTTGTTATTAATTGTCAGGTGAATTAAACAATTTAAATTGAAACAATTCATAATTCATCATATTATGAATACGTAAACTTGTAATGTGTGTCAAAAGTCGTACTAAAATACGCTATTTGAAGGGGGCGTGGCCTAAATGCAAATGTCCGATTGGGATTTTAAATTTTCCGGACCCCTGCTTGGTACAATAGGTACCCACAGTACCTTTAGTAGTTGTTGCAGTACCTTTAGTAGTTGTTGCAGTACCTTTGGTAGTTCAGTGATCCATTCTTATAATTTTCAGCACTATTTAGCCAAGGGAATCTGTTTCAGCAGATAATTGAGACTGTTCTCTGGCACTGACATTGTATATTTACCCCTGACAAAATCTTGAATGTAGCCAATCAAGCAGGTAGAAAACAAGACGAGTCTACTCGCCCTAGCCTGTTTTTGGCATCCGTTTCAGTAGGTCCTAGTGTCAATGTATGAACAGTGATTAACTGAGCTTACAAAAAGTAATTTTACAAGACTTGGACTTGAGACTTCAGTGGCCTGCAGGGAGGTGTACTGGTGTGAGATGTGTGAGTGAAGAGGGAGGTGTGTTTGTCTCACCTTTTCAATCTCCCCTTGCTTCTTGAGTTCTCAATTCTCCATTGTTTGTGGATGCAATCCTATACCTAATGTTACACCTCTCAGCATGTTGTTTATGTCTTGAATTATATTTTCTGTTGATATCAAGGTAATTTGTGTGACAGCAACTCAGTCTAATGCACAACTTGATCTGCTTGTATTTGTTTTGGGATATCATTGATACAAGGTCTGTTTCACTCCACACTTGGGTGTATTTGGTGGACTCCACACTTGGGTGTATTGGGTGGCTCCATACTTAGGTGTATTGGATGGACTCCACACTTGGGTGTATTGACTGGACTCCACACTTGGGAGTATTGGGTGGACACCACAATTGGGTGTATTGGGTGGACTCCACACATGGGTGTATTGGGTGGCTCCACACATGGGTGTATTGAATGGGCTATATACTTGGGTGTATTGGGTGGACTCCACAATTGGGAGTATTGGGTGGACTCTACACATGGGTGTATTGGGTGGACTCCACACTTGGGTGTATTGGATGGAATTCACACTTGGGTGTATTGGGTGGACTCCACACCAGGGGATATTGGGTGGCTCCACACTTGGGTGTATTGGGTGGCTCCACACATGGGTGTATTGCATGGACTCCACACATGGGTGTATTGGGTAGACTCCACACTTGGGTGTATTGGGTAGACTCCACACTTGGGTGTATTGGGTGGCTCCACACTTGGGTGTATTGCATGGACTCCACACATGGGTGTATTGGGTAGACTCCACACCTGGGTGTATTGGGTGGCTCCAGAGTCCAGAGTTTGTAGTATTTTGGTGCTTTTGAGCTATAATAAGTTTTTGTCATTAAATAAGATATCATGTGACTAACCAAGGGTCCAGGTAGTACTGTGTGTACCTGGGTCCTACTCAGGACCCACCCGACCTGAGTATACAAATTACCTGTCCTAGCTCTAGTTTGGTAGCCGTTGTAATCAAACAAATCCTTGTGGGTGGGTGAGAAAAAAGGTATTTCAGATTAATATTCTTGTTCTTCCAAAACCTTTTTGCAAAGGGTGCAGTGCTAGTTAAGCTTGTTTTGTTGTTTAACTGACTGTACTCAGTGTTTGCACCATGTATTGTGCTCAACACATGTTTACATTTGATAGGTTAAGGAAAATAGCGTTTTTCAGATTATATTTCCACTTTTCGTTGTGTTAGGGTCAGCGAAATCTGTAAACAAATTAAAACAAGATCTCATCTAAATTTGTCTAGCATTAAGTTAAAGACTTTTATTAAAAATATTTTTATATGATTTATGCTAGAAGGGTGACACTGAATGGGCAGGCTCTAAAGTCTTGAATAATGTTCATCAGGATAATGCTGTATACAGCAGACCAGTACAGGAGAACTACTAGACTGTTTGTTGTCCCCACACTACAAATCATTGTAGATGTCACAGGTCATAAATCTCCCTTGCTGACCTATCTCTTCCAACAAGTGGTGGACATGCCCTCACTGACCTGCCTCCATTACCTACACCCTTTACAGCTGCCCCCAATCTTCCTCCCGTTGTGGTGAGGTCATGTTAACTTGGGCACTTCACAGTGGTGAGGTAATGTTAACTTGGACATCTCACTGTGGTGAGGTAATGTTAACATGCACTTCACTGTGGTGAGGTAATGTTAACTTGGACACTTGGCTGTGGTGAGGCAATGTTAACTTGGACACTTGGCTGTGGTGAGGTAATGTTAACTTTGACACTTCACTGTGGTTAGGTAATGTCATCTTAAGCACTTGACTGTGGTGAGGTAATGTCATCTTAAGCACTTGACTGTGGTGAGGTAATGTCATCTTAAGCACTCGACTGTGGTGAGGCAATGTTAACTTGGACACTTGACTGTGGTGAGGTAATGTCAACTTGGACACTTCACTGTGGTGAAGTAATGTTAACTTGGACATCTTACTGTGGTGAGGGTCCCTAGGCTTTATTCCTGCAGCAAGTTGACATGACATGACATGATATGTATACAGAAATACTGTTCAAAGCAGTGTTAAATGAAACTAACTCACTCATTCATTAAGTACTGGTTTCTAATCACATGTGTGTATCTGTGACTTTGAATGATCAGCTCGTGGATTCATCTTACAGATGACATTCTTACCATGTCTACTTGTGACAGGCTTATCCTCTTTGGTCTAGTGGACCAGGTACCGTCCTCAGATCATCAGGTCTGTGGTTCAAAGCCCAACCAGTCACATAGACATTTCATTGCTGCTTCATAATATTAATTGCTAAGGTGGAACCCATAATCACAGGTGGGGCGGGTGGGTAGCCTAGTGGTAAAAGTGTTCGCTCGTCACGCCGAAGACCCGGGTTTGATTCCCGACATACAATGTGTGAAGCCCATTTCTGGTGTCCCCTGCCGTGATATTGCTGGAATATTGCTAAAAGCGGCGTATAACCATACTCACTCACTCACCCATAATCACAGGTATGGTGATGACAGACCAAGGATCATAATCAGGACAAGTTTGTTATCCTGGCACAGATAACTCTACACAGTGAACATAGTGTAAGACAAAGGAACCGCCTTGCCCCTCATGAGATCTCATTGTTCACAGTTATCTCCCTTGATGCGCTAAGTACCAGTTCAATGTTCATCAATCTCAGCCACTGTCACATCGTCTAGATGACGAGTTAATCCCTGATCGAGTCCTATCAAGTCCAGGTCCCAATATCCCTGTATGTCACATCACAAGGTAGTTGAAGGTTGGGATCTGACTGGCAGGTGCTTGCTGCTGTCCTCCACACTATTATCCCTACCTGGCCAGGTAAACCAGGCTTTGATCCTCCATGTTACTTGTCAACCCTTCCTTGCTAGGATGACAGGACATTATGATGATGGACATGGCTCTATTTGTAACTTGTCCTACTTTGATCATCAACTCTTATATGATGGGAAGACATGAAACTGTTGTGATGTTGTGAAGATCCAGGGTGGAATAGGTCTTCAGCAACCCATGCTTGCCGTAAAGGGCGACTATGCTTGTTGTAAGAGGTGACTAACAGGATTGGGTGGCCAGGCACGCTGACTTGGTTGATGCATGTCATCGTATCCCATTTGCGTGGATCGATGCTCATGATATAAATCACTGGATTGTCTGATCCAGACTCGATTATTTACAGATCGCCATCATACAGAATATTGCTGAGTGCGGCGTTAAAAAGAGAAATATTAAAAAAATGCCTACCCAAGAATTCTATATGATGCCTTCTTCATCCTGTCTCTATAATTATATCATTTTAGTGGCATTTAAGAAGGTGAAATAACAAAAAGGACATGAGTTATGAGATTCAAATTCTTTATTCTTTCAATGCAACATTTTGGTTCAGATGTCCTACTCAGTTGTTGGGAGCACGGATGGCCAAGTTGTCTAAGGTGTCGCAATTCACTGTGCAGAGTTTCGTCCCTTGGGTACGCCAGAAACCTATGATTGTGGGTTCGAATCCCGGTTCCGCCCGATTATGTTTCTAGGTTTAAAACACCATACCCCTGCTCGTGGGTTTCACCGAAGTGGCAAATGTCTAAGCCCTGCATCACTTCAGGCTTTCCTCCCACATTAAGCTGACACGCCGTGATATAACTGGAATACTGTTAAAAGCGGCGTTAAACCCTCACTCACTCACTCACTACTCAGTTGTTGATCACTTGTTTCATGAAGGTTGAGCTACATAAATATAACTGTCCTCACTACATAATTATGATGTTTATTTTGTTTTGTTTTTTTAATCATCAAACTACCTTTATTCTATCATAAATCATATTATTCGCTTTGACATTTATTTTCGGAGAGCACACAACCTCCACCCCCTCCTTTTCCCTACCCATCCCTCTTTCCCCATCCCCTACCCCTCCCTCCTTCCCTACCCCCTACCCCTACCTCGTTCCCTACCCCCTACCCCTCCTCCCTCATTCCCCTACCGCTCCCTCCTTCCCTATAATCATCAGGAACTTTGTGATGATATGCCGAGGCAGAATGAGGATTTTATAGAGGGGGATGCAAACCCAGGGCACAAACTGAACAAAACATGAACACTAGATATTCTTACATTGGTATGTTGTTGCACCTGCGGAAGTAGTTGTTGCACCTGCTGATGTAGTTCCTGCTGTTCCAGATGCAAGTGTAAGGGGATGGAGTCCTGTCCATCGGTGCAGTGTCCAGAGGGCTCGCAGCTACAGATCATCTCCAAGGCGACGGACATGCCCGGCTCATGCTGTGATAAATTCCACTGTGTTAATGGTAAGTGAGCTCTTAGTATTGACTTACCACAACCAAGACATCTTGGCTAGATCAATCTCATTAAAATCAGATCTTAGTCCTCGCTACCGCTAAACAAAGATCTGAGGACATCCCATTACGGGTCACGTCAGGCCGACCTAGCTTGAACTTTGACCGACCAATGGAATAACCAATCAGAAGGCAGCTTTCTCGTGCTTTACGGCACTAATTTCAAATTGGCGACTACACTTTGAAATATATTTTGACAAATTCTCGATTAAAAACCTGAACAAAAATAAATTCTGGAATGGGTATTAGATGGTCTAGATTGTATGGTTTCAGTCGTTAAACCCGTAACTATTGTTCTGAATACCCATGTTAAAGTTTTCGAGGATGCATGATTAGAAAGCACGTTCCTACTGTCACTTTCATGATCTGGTAAGCGGCGCTTAGATTGGTCGGATGAAAGGTCGTTCTGACGTGACCCCTACTGGGATGTCCTCAGATCTTTGTTTAGCGGTAGCGAGAACTAAGATCTGATTTTGATGAGATTGGGGCTAGACGCCCTTAGTATCACCATGGTTCTGTTCCATGAAGCAGTCTTAGCACTATGACTATCTAAAGCCTATGGGAGTTTGGAGTATAGGAGTTGCGATTGTCTCAGCACTAAGATCTCTTTATGGAATGACGCCTGGATGTCTTGGATACAGAGAACTGTTTGAGTGCCATGGAATATAAGTGGTCCCCTCCAGCTACTGTAGCTCAGGGCCCCATTCCACAAGACGATCTTAGCACTATGACTATCCAAAGACTATGTTAGCGTATGGGAGTTACAATTGTCTTTGCTGCTCTTGGTGGAACGATGCCCAGATGTCTAGGAATTCTTTTGAACTGTTAAAGTGCCATTGTATAGAAGTAGGCACCTATAATACTGTAGATCAGGACCTGTTCCACAAAGTGATCTTAGCGCATGATTGTCTTAAGTCTATATTGTCGGTAGTCTATCTTATGATCATCTTAGCGCTGTAGAACGGGGTCCAGGGCACGTCATGAAGATTTGTTCCTGGAAGAGGACAGAACCCCTTGTGTTGATATAGCTCCAAATCTTTGGCATCCAGTTAACTGTTCTGATTGCGAAAATGCCTGTTGAGTTGGTTTTGCTCTACCTCCACTTACATTATGTGATCAACCCGTGAAGATTCGGGTTAGAATTGATCTTCAGCAACCCATGTTTTTTGTAACAGGCAACTATGCTTGTCGTAAGAGGCGACTAACAGGATCGGGTGGTCAGGCTCGCTGACTTGGTTGATGCATGTCATGGTGTGCTAATTGCATGAATCGATGCTCATGATATCAATCACTGGATTGTGTGGTCCAGACTTGATTATTTACAGACCTTCATAGAGCTGGAATATTGCTGTGTGTAGCATTAAACAACAAACAAACAAACAAACATTATGTGATCCTACGGAGTAAATACCAGTGAGATTTCCTTTCGATATGATGAAGAGAGAGATATACCCAGGATCTATTCCTTTGAGCTCTTGACATACTATAAACTCCTCACAGTGATATCATACACACCTGTATCACTATCAGTACAGTCAGCTGAATCAGTAGGGGGGCACGGGTGGCCCAGTCGTCTAAGGTGCCGCGATTCGCTGTGCAGAGTTGCATCCCTTGGGCATGCCAGAAACCTATGATTGTGGGTTTGAATTCCGGTTCGCCCAGATTATGTTTCTAGGTTTGTCAGCACTATACCCCTGCTCGTGGGTTTCACCAAAGTGGTAAACGTCTGAGACCTGCATCTCTTCAGGCTTTGCTCCCACATTAAGCTGACAAGTGAAATAACTTGAATACTGTTAAAAGCGTTGTTAAACCCAACTCACTCACTCACTCACTCACTGTATCAGTAGACTGGGGATGTATCTGTAGACTGGGGCTGTATCAGTAGACAATGGCTGTATCAGTAGACTGAGGCTGTATCAGTAGACCATGGCTGTATCAGTAGACTGAGGCTGTATCAGTAGACCATGGCTGTATCAGTAGACTGAGGCTGTATCAGTAGACCATGGCTGTATCAGTAGACTGAGGCTGTATCTGTAGACAGAGGCTGTATCAGTAGACCATGGCTGTATCAGTAGACTGGTGCTGTATCAGTAGACTGAGGCTGTATCAGTAGACCATGGCTGTATCAGTAGACTGGGGCTGTATCAGTAGACTGGGGCTGTATCTGCATACTGAGGCTGTATCAGTAGACCATGGCTGTAACAGTAGATTGAGGCTGTATCAGTAGGCCATGGCTGTATCAGTAGACCATGGCTGTATCAGTAGACTGAGGCTGTATCAGTAGACCATGGCTGTATCAGTAGACTGAGGCTGTATCAGTAGACTGAGGCTGTATCAGTAGGCCATGGCTGTATCAGTAGACAATGGCTGTATCAGTAGACTGGGGCTGTATCAGTAGACAGGGGCTGTATCAGTAGACTGAGGCTGTATCAGTAGACAATGGCTGTATCAGTAGACCATGGCTGTATCAGTAGACTGGGGCTGTATAAGTAGACTGAGGCTGTATCAGTAGGCCATGGCTGTATCAGTAGACCATTGCTGTATCAGTAGACTGGGGCTGTATCAGTAGACTGAGGCTGTATCAGTAGGCCATGGCTGTATCAGTAGACAGGGGCTGTATCAGTAGACTGAGGCTGTATCAGTAGGCCATGGCTGTATCAGTAGACCATGGCTGTATCAGTAGACTGAGGCTGTATCAGTAGACTGAGGCTGTATCAGTAGAATGAGGCTGTATCAGTAGGCCATGGCTGTATCAGTAGACTGGGGCTGTATCAGTAGGCCATGGCTGTATCAGTAGACCATGGCTGTATTAGTAGACTTGGGCTGTATCAGTAGACTGAGGCTGTATCAGTAGGCCATGGCTGTACCAGTAGACCATGGCTGCATCAGTAGACCGTGGCTGTATCAGTAGACTGAGGCTGTATCAGTAATCCATGGCTGTATCAGTAGACAGGGGCTGTATCAGTAGACTGAGGCTGTATCAGTAGGCCATGGCTGTATCAGTAGACCATGGCTGTATCAGTAGACTGAGGCTGTATCAGTAGAATGAGGCTGTATCAGTAGAATGAGGCTGTATCAGTAGGCCATGGCTGTATCAGTAGACTGGGGCTGTATCAGTAGGCCATGGCTGTATCAGTAGACCATGGCTGTATCAGTAGACTGAGGCTGTATCAGTAGAATGAGGCTGTATCAGTAGACTGAGGCTGTATCTGTATACTGAGGCTGTATCTCACAAATGAATGTTGCATACTGGAACGAGATCATTCATGACCAGTTCCTGTTATTCTGGGACAAGCCAAATAGTGACTTGTGCCCATCTCGTGGCCATTTGTACGACTGGTTTCAAGTGCAAATGGGCATAGCTAAAAGAATTGTCAACTCGTTGCATAATGATTCACGTATATTTCCCCCATGTCTATATACCAGATACTATTTAAAACACATCAGGATTTACGGTATTTATACAGTATGATTGAACACACTGTATCTTGGGTATATTTTTGGATGTAAGACATATGTGAAATCAAAAATTATTCCTGTGGGATTCCTTGACCGAAATACTTGAAATCATATGCACATTCTGATTCGTTTGTCATAGTTTTCGCACATAACATTCATTGACAGGAGGATGAGTCTCCTTCAGGTTACGGAAAGGGCAAGTGGTGATGAATGGACAAGTTAGATGTAGGTTGTACTATTTTAGGGACAGGTAACTCCATTACCGGTACCAATGGTCAGTCATTGTTGTATTACAATTGTAGTGGAAACTATTGATCACAAAGGAATCATTTACAATTTTGGAGACGATTGACCTAGAATAGACACCTGTAAATACATGGGGCTGATGTCGTTCGTATTGTTAAAAACTCCCCTGTAAACAGTTGATTATTTCAAAACAGCAGGTAACAGCAAGATAAAACATACATGCAGCTTTTGATCTTATTAAACGAAGTAGAACACAGCTGTAAAAAATACTCGTGGTCTAATTAAAACAGAACACACCTGTAAACAGCTGTGAATGTCATAAAAGCTGATAAAACACATGTAAACAGCTTTTGATCTCATTTAAGCAGTTAAAACACACCTGTATTCAGCTGTTAATCTCAATAAATCAGGTAGGTAAAACACACCTGTAAACAGATGAGTTTTTCATAACAGCAGGTAAAAATGCACCTGTATACAGCTGATTATTTCATAACACCTGTTGAAGCCACAAATGTAAACAACTTATTTGATCATCACCGAAAGTAAAAACACATATATAACCAGCTGTTAATATCAGATAAGAAGCAGTAATACAAACAGACCTTTGACTTCCTGGTTTCATCATAACATCTTGTTTTATCACACCGTTCAATTACCTGAGGAAAGGAATCCATCAAGTCAGACGTTAATTGGTTTGTTGAAAGCTGAGTCAACTCCTGGCAGTGAATCCTAAACAGATGCAGGAGGTAGTGGGAACAATAGACCAGCACTGGGGATGGGGAGGGGTGTCCAACTGACTGAGTGTCTTTTGACAATGTTAGGCTAAAAAAAATAGTCTTGGTTCTCAGGTACCGCCTGCATTATCATAAATTCCGCCGCACGTTTCGTTTTTATTTCCATTTTAATTTATTTTTTTTAAAAACAAATACTTGAAAAACAATGCAATCAAATATAGCATGCAGTTACTTCCCTTTACATGTCCTCTGCTTTACTCCGCATCTAGTGTTATGGTAATGGCGACGATAGGAATCTGTATGCTTCTTCATGTAGGGAGGCCCTTTCCCAGATTGATGGTACACAACTGTTTATTTGGTTACTAGTTTGAACAAGCCTAAAAAACACAAAAAAACACCGCCCACCCAAACTATGTTTTCAAAAGTCATTGCCTTAGAACCAATTCTTTTATTTTTTTAAGCCTTATAGGTGTTTTGGCAACTAGGCCCATTTACACCTTGTCATATATTCCA